AAAACCAAACTCATCCATCATCCCATCCAAAAATGACCAATTAGCACAATCATAAGCTTTTTGAAAATCTACCTTGAAGCCAAAAGCTAATTTCTTCCTCATTTGAACATTATCCACAACTTCATTTAAAGCTAGAACACTATCCACTAATTGTCAACCCTCTACAAAAGCGGATTGCGCTTCTCTAATAATCTCTGGCATCACTACCTTAAGCCTATTAGCCAATACCTTAGCCAATAACTTATACACACATCCAATCAAACTAATAGGCCTAAAATCTTTCAATTCCCTAGGACTCAACTTCTTATGAATTAATGCAAGAAAAGAAGAATTCAACCCCCTCACTAATTTGTTGTGCTGATGAAATTCTCGAAAAAAGCTAACAAAATCTTCCTTAATACTGTTCCAGAAAATTTTAAGGAAATTAAAATTATACCCGTCACGCCCTAGCGCTTTACTTCCATCACAGCTCTTCAGCCTTTCTTCAATCTCCTCATCAGTGAAAGGTCTTTCAAGCCACTCTTTCTGCTCATCAGAAATTCTTTTGAATACTAGATTCGAAGGCTTGGGTCATTTCCAAGGTTCCTCTTGAAACATCTTGCGAAAATAATTAACCACCTTTTTCTTTACCATATCTGGTTCCTCCACCCACCGACCAACACAAAATAAGCCCGAGATGTTATTACGGGCCTTCCTTCCATTAGCAAGTTTATGAAAATATCTCGTATTGTGATCCCCCAACTTAACCCAATCACTTCTAGATTTTTGTTTCCATATGGCCTCCATTTTCCTCAGTATATCCCATATCTCCTGAAAACCTTCCTTCCTTTGAGCCACTTCTCTTTCCTCCAAATCCATCATTTCATTCTTCAAATCAATCTATTCTACTTTATGTGCAGCACTTTGGAATTCTGCTTCCATGTTCCCGAACACCTCCTTATTCCAACCTTTCAAAAATTCTTTCAAACTCTTCAACTTCTGTTTACATCTATATCCAGCATACCCTTCCACATTTAATTCCTTCCATTTATCCTCAACCGCCTTCTTAAACTACGGGTGGTGCTGCCATGCATCAAGAACTCGAAAGAGTTTTGATCCCCAATCAACCACAACTATTTTCTTCATAATGGGACAGTGATCAAACACTGTCCTCTTCAATCCTTGTTGCACCCATTCCTCCCCCACATTACACATCTCAACTGACAGTAAGACTCTATCCAAATGACTCATAGATGATCCGTCAGGCCTATACCATGTAAATCATTTATTTGCCAATTTAAGATCCACCAAACCCGTTGACACTACAAAATCATCGAATTCCTTCATGTCCAAAGACTCCCTTATCTTACCCTTTCTTTCCTTTATACACCTAACAGCATTAAAATCACCTACAATCAACCATCTGCCTTCCTCATCCATTATTCTTTGTTGAAGTTTTGCCCACAGCTTCACTTTCTTGTGTCTATCGGTTGGGGCATAGACATTGACAAAATTACACTTCATCTTCTTTGGTCCTCATTCACCTATAATACCCAAAAACCTGTCACTCGAAAACACCCCTTGTTTAAGAAACTCCAATCTATTCCAAACACAAAGCAACCCTTCGGAAGCCCCAATTGATTCCTTCATCTCCCAATCAAACTCATCTAAAAACCACAACAATTTACATAAAGTACCCTCCACCCTCTCTAATTTTGTCTCTTGTAAAAATAAATAATCTGGATGCTCTGCTCTTACCAACTTTCCCACCTCCTTCCTTTTCAACACACTCCCTAATCCCCTCACATTAAATGATATCAACTTCATAAAAAATTCACAAACACACACCCCACACTATCTAATCACCAATTACCTTCCCACTCCCTCCCCTGCCCATCATCCCAAGCCTCCAACTCCATCAATCTTGACTGAACCTCTTCTTCATTATCTTGCAATTAAATACCCAATCTTTTACCTACATTAATAATCCTCCTTATCTCTTGTAGATTCATCTCTCTTTGAATAACCTGATTTCTGTGAACTATGCACCCATCCGACGCGAGGAGCTTCCAATTCGCTTTGCTAGCATCGCCACCACCTGCTGTAGTTTCTGATGTGTCCGTAACATGGTTCCGCTAGTAACCCATTGAGTGCCATCTTTGCAATTAGCTACTTGTTCTTGTGGGTAACAATCTTTTAGATCTTTTCTTCTTTTCTCTATGGAATCCCTAATACCCAAAAACACAGCAGAATTTAATTCCTTGTCTAATTTCCCTGGCACTTCCCCTCTTTTGGTAAAATCAGTCTGCAGCTGGTCCCTCATTTCTCCTTTTTCCTACATTGCAGACCCGCTGACACACGGCAACAACCCAAACTCAGCTTCCAGCCCTTCTTTCGAAACCTCAAACAAGCCCATTTCGATACCAGGCCTATCTAGCCCATTTTCCTCCTCTCTTACAACTTCCTTGCCGGCCTGTACAACTTCCTGATTTAAATTCAAACTCCCCTCCTCATGTAACTGTTCCTCATCAATAGCATCTTCATCAACGCCATGAATCTCGACATAATGCAATTCGTGATCTTCCTCACCATTTACCGATGAGGAATATTTCGATTCTGTTGTCGATGCTCCCTGTCGATCTTCATCATCTAACCACCAGTTTGAGTCGGCACGCCATTCTTCCTCCGATAGCCTAATCTCATACATCTCCTCCTCCACCTTTAACTTCAAAGTTTTGGAAATGTTGTGCTTATTAGAACATAAAATTAATACTCTTCCATCACACAAAATAGTTTTCAATTTTGTATCTTGATGAACCATTACCACTTCCCCAACAGAACTTGCTATCTTCTCAAAGCATCGATCACACCATGATTTCAATGGGACTCCAGATATTCGTATCCATACCATTCGAGCACCATGCTGAGGCGCCAATGCCCAAGGATAAATAGCCTCACACCAAAGATCAAATAAGACCTTGTTTTGCTGCAAATACTCACTCAAGTAACCCTTCAAACACTCAGTTAACAATAAACTCTGTCCTCCCAATGGTGAGATCTTGATCAAACCTCCATTCACATCTATTCTCTCTTGAATAGTAGATATCACTAACATCGACCTTACCACTACTGCCATACTCCCCTCTAGCCACTGCGTTTCCTCATGCAATGGAAAAAACTCTATAATTTCCTCCCCATTATTCTCCACCATAACACCACCCATCTTATCATCTGAACCTCTCACCCCAAGGGTGGCTGGCATCACCTGATTGATAGAAACCCTGTCCACTGCTTCAACTCTTGGCTGCCCTCCTACCTTCTTATTCTGAGCCTGAGCAGCCCCTGCCCTCGAGGAATAACCCATAACAGCCTGGACATATGACTTCCCTGGTTGGACAAATCTCTGCTCTCTAATATTAACCTTCATCCCAGCATTCCTCTGAGTGCCCATCCTTTGCTGCCCTCTATCAGTCACTATTTTGACCCTCAGCTTATAGGATCCAAGCCATATCCTATTAAGCCTCTCCTCCACTTGTTTCACATCTTGCACCCCTTCCATCCTAACCAAGCCGAAATGTTTCCCCCAATTATCCCTTTTCCTTGGCACAAACATATCAACAACCTTTCCACACTCCTGAAAACGGTGCCACAGAGCCTTTACATCCCAACTCTTTGAAAAATTATAAAAGAAAAATGGCTCCACCTGTCCCTTTCTCCAGTTCCCATACTCCACGATCCTCTGGTTGTACCCTTGCCATCGTTGGAAGCTACCGCTACCCCAAGTTGTGTCGCCTCTCGCACTAACCCTAGTACTCACCATTTTTTTAATAGGGTTTAAACTCCTTGATAATATTTCAAGATGATTGTAAAATTCAAACTTTATTTTCCTAGAAATTTAAATATTTTAAGTTTAGTATTGTTAATCAACTTACTATTATTTATAACTTTATGATTTTTTTTTAATTTAAATATTTGTGATTGAGAATATAAAGTGCTTAGTGTTAATGAATTACAATACTTTAATTAGATTTAGATATATATAATTTTATTTGTATATAATAAAATTAATAAAAATAATTATAAAGAATGAAAATAAAGTCAACTCGCGTGTTAACTCGTAACCCATTAGGGTCGGGTTAGGGTTGGACTTTTCCAACCCACAACCATTTACGACCCAGCCTGTATAACTCGTCAATTGAGTTGACCCAACCTGAACTCAATCCAACCCACCTGTTTGCCAGGCCTACCTACCCATGTTATTCATTACTGCTTTCTATTGTAATGCCCTTAATTAACTTTTTGAAACTTGGAACCTATAAGAAATAGCATCTACTTTAGTTGACTTGTTATTAATGTTTTTGAAAATGGAAAAGGAGAATAGCAATGTATTGGGAAATAAGAAGCATATTTATTATTACCAATGACCTGTTGGTCTGAGTAGAAGGAGCTCGGTTCCCTTTAAGCAAAATTTCGAGTTCAAGTCTTGTGAATGGAAAAACAGGCACTGGGAGAGCTTTCTCTCATATGAGGTCCGACTCGACTCGACTCTAGATTAGTCATGACCCAATTTAGCTTTTGGATACTGGGGGGTTAGTACGCAAAAAAGAAGCATATTTATTTTTTATTTTGCTATTTTTTAAGATAAATAATAAATTGAAAAAATTAAAGAGAATGGATTATATCCAAAAATAGGGGAAAAAAGAGCTTTAATCCAAAATTGAGAACATGTCCAAATAAAAAATTGATTTTGACATCTATAAAATTCCAGAATGTACAGTAAGATGACTTGGTCCTAGTCCATGGTTTGTCACCAACATTCGTAGCAAGATCAAAAAGTGTCAACTAGCAATTTCTGGGTATCATGGAAGTCCACTAAAACACTCAAAATTGACCCAGAATCCGTAGAAGTCCAAGACTTCATATACACTATTTCTTTGTTTCTGTACATAGATCTATTGAGGCCAGAAGAATAAAATCTAGCATTGAAATGATTGTGGAAGGAAGAATCCTACCTAGAAGAATAAAATCAGGTATTAAAATGGTTGTGAAAGGAAGAATCCCAACAATTGGCATTTGAAATGAGCATGATAAGAGAAAGGGGAATGGGAATATGATCGAAGAAAGGGGAGACGGCAAGGAATTAGTGGAAGCCAATTGGTTGGTCTTGTCCCTTTGCAAAAATAGTTGGTGGGTTTTAATAACTATACATGTATTTCAAATGACGAATTAAGACCACAATAAATTCCATTCCAGATGAGAAATTAAAATTAATAATTATATTGAATAGGGATTAATTTAATTAATAACTATGCTTGTATTCCAAATGAGAAATTAAAGAAACCAAAAGATTCCATTCCAAATGAGAAATTAAGATGCAAGAAATTTGCGGAGTTTACGAAGACAAATGAGAAATTCTAACCTCTTTTATCACTTAATGGCTTAATCGTTGAAGAGAATGGAGTCAATAAAGGTCTTTGTGAGGAAATTACTAACCACCAAAATTGTATCTTTCTGAAGTGGAAAGTTCAAAGAATTTTGATTTTCTTCTTTGAAGTCTACACCTGTAACTTTTGTTAAATTAGAGTTTGTTTGAAATTAGGGATTTAGAAGGTGGGTGCAAAATGTAAGGGAAATGAAGACCGGAGAGGAGAAAGAAAGAAAGTGACTTATGAATGTGGGTGGAAAATGCAAGCGTGGAATTAATGGAGAGAGGAAGAAGAAAAGTTAGACAAAAAAATAAATCTTACTAAATAAAGAAGCCATAACGTGTGTAAAAAAAAAAACTAAAATCAAAAGGACAAATTAAGTTGACACGTGGCAAATTTGCCATTCATGGTTTCTCTTTTATCATATAATATATATATTATATAGATTTCAAGATTTTCCTTCCCGCATCTTCCGCACCTTCTATGAATTTCCAATAAGCAACAAATTAATATTCACACTTGTTCTAACAAAGTTAAACGCAAATTTTATTCCCACAAATTGAGGTTTTATATAATTTTATTTTTTAATCTTTTATATATTTTTTTCATTTCTTAACTTTGAAAAATATATATATTTATCAATTAATAGCCTATTAAGTTTATTTAAATTTACAAAACTTTTAATCTTACACTTATAATATATGCATATTTTAATCTTTTAAACTTTTAAGTTCAGGGTTAAATAAGTTCAGGACTAAAAACTTAATAAATTAATTGACAAAGGAACAAAAAATACATTTTTTTAGAGTTGAGGGACAAAAAAAATATTTAAAATAATTAAAAGAAAAAACTGTGTAAAACTCTAAAATTGAGGGACTAAAATTGATAATTAACCTTCTAACAATTTCAATCCACTTTCTTCGCACTTTCATTCCTCGCTTGTCTGCCATTTCTAGGTTCTTTCTAAATCAGCAAAAAATTCCTCCTTGCTCCTGATTTATTACAGTAATTTCAAGATTTTCCTCTCCCAGCTTCATTTCCGCACCTTCTATGAATTTACAATCAGCAACAAATTATAATATTCACACTTCTTCTAACAATTTCATTCCACCTTCGTTACAATTTCATTCCACGTTTGTCTACCATTTCTAAGTTCTTTCTAAATCAACTCTATAAATACCTAATAATAGGCTCTGTTTCTTTTCCAAAACAGAAAGACTCAATGGCTTCTCTTTTGCCTTCCACGTCCACCCTCCTCTCCGCTTATGCTTCCCTTTCCACCGCCATCACCTTAATCCGCACAATCTTGTGTCAGATGATTCCCAATCTAATGCGAGACTACCTAATTTCCTCAAAGCTCTTCGAATCACTGTCCCTCCACTTCTCCCCTAACTTCACCTTCATCATTGAGGACCGTTGGCAAGCAGTGGATAACGAAGTGTTTCGTGCTGTAGAGGTGTACTTGCCTACGAGAATCAGCCCCTCTAGTGATCCTCACAACCCCGAGCAGAACATTGCGGTTAGCTGCAAGATAATTGACGAGTTCCAGGGTATGAAATTGGAGTGGTCTCTACGTTCTATTGAAGCCAAGAAGTACTTCCATCGGGAGAGCAGGTACATCCGGTTAACGTGCAAGAAAAGCCACCGAGAAAGAGTCATGCAGAGCTACTTCCCTCACATTGCCAGTACTGCACAAACCATCATGAGCAAGCGTGAGAACCTCTACATCTATACCTATGATGATAAAGAAGCCAGTAGGTGGAAATCTACCGTTTTCATGCCCACTGCAACATTTGATTCTCTGGCTATGGAGCCAAAGCGCAAGCAGGACTTAATCAATGACCTTGACACCTTCGTCGGACGAAAGGAGTTCTTCCAGAGATCAGGAAGAGTTTGGAAACGGGGATACCTTTTGCACGGTCCACCAGGTACCGGAAAATCCTCCTTGGTTGCAGCCATTGCGAATCACATGAGATACAATATATACGATCTTCAGCTTCATAGCATTCGAAGTGACGCCGAATTGAAACGTATCCTTACTTCGACCAGAAAGCGATCAATTCTACTTGTTGAGGACATTGATTGCAGCCCAAAAGTAGCCCGAGATCGTCCCAGGATTAGAAATGAACAAGAAGAGCAAGGCGAAGAGGAGCAAACCTATAGGCTTTCTCCTCCTGATGCTGGGGTAATTAACTAGTTTACTTTCTAGAAGGAAGTTAACATGCATTTTAATCCATATCAATGAATTATTAAGGGTTTTTCTTTTCTTTTCAGGTACCATTATCTGGGTTGCTTAATTTGATTGATGGGTTGTGGTCGAGTGGCATGGACGAGCGGATCATCATCTTCACAACGAAGCACAAGGACAAGTTGGAACCAACTCTGTTATGGCCCGGGCGGATCGATGTTGATGTCTACATGGGTTACTGCACTCCCGAAGGATTCAGACAACTTGCAGACGCGCACTTGCAAATCAAGGATCACTATCTCTTTGCCGCCATTGAAGATCTTCTTAAAAAGGTATCTGTTACTCCGGCAGAAGTGGCACATCAGCTCTTGAATCGTGGCAAGCCGCAGGCCATATTGGATAGTTTCATTGAATACCTTGAAATGAAAAGGAATGGAATTGAAGAAGCAAATTAAAAGCAAAAAAAATTTCTTTTTTGATCTTTTGAGAATCAAGCAAAGAGGTTATAATATTGCTAGGGGTTTCAAATACGCGTATGGTACTTCTAAAATTTTAAAAAAATTTCTTGTCAAGGAATAGCAATTTGGTTTAATCCGGTTTAGCCCCTCATTTATACATGGTTTAATGTCAATTTTAATCTCTCAACTTTAGAGTTTTACACAATTTTTGTCCTTCAACTTTTTTATACACTTTTTTAATCATCAATTATAAAAATATATATATTTTTAATCATTCCGTCAGTTAGTTTGTGAAGTTTATTTATATAAGCATATTTTTAATTTCTTAATTTTAAAATTTTACCCAATTTTTGTCTCTTAACTTAAAAGTTTAAGGACAAAAAAATGTACATATATGAATAGATTTAATGGACTAATTAACAGAATGATTAAAAGAGTATATTTTTCCTAGTTAAGAGGACTAAAAAAATATATAAAAAGTTAAAGGGTGAAAACTATGTAAAAGCCTAAAATTAAGGGATCAAAATTAACATTTAACATTTATGCATTTTAAAGTTATTAACCCACTTAAATATGATATATTATTAACCTCTCAATAATATAATTTGAAAAAATTAACCTTACTTCACAAAGTTGAGATGTGCTACTCTTGTGTGCGCTAGTGAGACGTCATGTGCATCCCATTCAACAACACCTTAGTATTATCTTTCCAACATAACATGCCACAGTAAGAATGAAGTGAGGCTCCACGTTATATTGTTATATATATATATATATATATTAATAGAAATAAATTAATACATATTTAGGTAAATAAGGATTGGAGCAAGGAAATCAGGTGGTCTCCACAAACACAAGATCTTAGTCATTAGGTCCGAACATGGGGTGATGTTATACTGTTATACTGAGCACAAAAGTGAATTTTTCCAAATAATGTTGTTGATAACCCAAAATTTATGAACAGAAGAAAAAATCTCAAAATTTATGAGTTAAGGGATAAGCAGGGGTAAAGCCTATCCATTTTCTATTATAACATGGCTTTGAGATTAGTTGACCTTGACCAAGTCCATTCCTTTTTATACTTCCATTTCTCTCATTACCGAACAAACCCTCATTTCATTTCATTCGCAGTGAGTCTCTGACTATTTCCACGCGACAAAACATCCGTTCCTGTTCTGGAATCTGAGCCTTTGGAGGTGAGTGCGATAAGAAGGTTGGAGTGGGGGTACCGGCCACCAATTGCGTCGGTTTCTCTCAGTACCGGATACGCAGATGACATAACGTGGCTAGAAAACAGGATGGATTCGGCTAATAAGTTGTGTTTCTTGGATGATTCGAATATGATTGCGATTCGGCAAAATCCGGCGGTTGATGTATCGGAAATTTAGTGGCTGTGTTTTCCGGAATATGACCTCAACCATTCATTCTCTGTTTATCGACCATTTTAGTCGCTACATTTGGATTTTTCCCATAAAATACAAATCTGATGTTTCAATAATTTTTCCAAAATTTAAATCTCTTGTTGAAAATCAATTTGGTTCTTCAATTAAAAACTTTCATTCCGATGGCGGGGGCGAATACATTGCACTTCGTGCTTTTCTTTCTAAACACGGTATTTCCCATATTACCACACTACCTTATACTCCTGAACTTAATGGTATTAGTGAGCGTCGAAATTGACACATTGTCGAAACAGGCCTTACTTTACTCCACACTGCCTCCTTGCCCTCCAAGTTTTGGTCCTTTGCATTCCAAACTACTGTCTACCTAATTAATAGGTTGCCAACAGTGACCTTGTCCTCTATATCTCCCTTAGAAAAATTATTTAACGTCAAACCAAATTACTTAAAGTTGCGCATTTTTGGTTGCTCTTGTTTTCCATGGCTTCGTTCATATAATAATAATAAACTACAACATCGCTCTCGTCCTTGTATTTTTTTGGGCTATTCCCTGGATAACTTGAGTTACAAATGTTTTGACATTCATTTTGGAAAGCTTTTTTATTCACGACATGTTATTTTCAATGAAAACCAATTTCCCTATAGTACACCTACTCTACAAAACTCTCTCTCCAATTCCACCACCCATAGCTTTTCTAATTCCTCCTTTCCTCATGACTTCTCTGCACAGCCAGTTCCCATTGACATGGTTTGCCACTGCCCGGTTGTTGGTCGCTCAATGTTGCCTCCCTGTGCTACAGTTCCCCATCATGAGGTAGTCCCCGTGTCCACCAAACCAGCCGTTCCTCACTCACCAATCTCTTCGTCGACTCCTACCTCCACACCTCGTTCTCCCACTCAAAGCCCCAGTCCAACCTCCAACCCTACCGTCACCCCCACCATAGCTGAATTGGACTCCTCTCCTCCTGTATCCTCCAACCACACCACTTCTAATAATCTCTCACCACCATCGCCTCCCCCACCTATCCGTACTCATCCCATGGTCACCCGTTCTCAAAACAACATCTTTAAACCAAAGACCTTACATCATGCAACCATGGCCTCCCCACTCCCTTCACCTGAACCCACTTGTGTGTCTCAAGCACTCAAAGATTCCCATTAGAGGCAGGCCATGTCTGAGGAGTTCAATGCGTTGATTCGCTAAGGGACGTGGGAGTTGGTACTCTCTCACCTGGATCAACATGTTCTTGGCTGCAAGTGGATATTTCGGATAAAACAGGGTAAAGATGGGTCAATTACACGCTACAAAGCACGTTTAGTTGCCAAGGGGTTTCATCAAAGGCCAGGTTCGGATTATCTCAACACCTTCAGTCCTGTTATTAAACCCACTACAATCTGGACTATTCTCTCTCTTGCAGTTAGTCGCCGGTGGCCTCTTAAGCAATTGGATGTGAATAATGCCTTTTTACATGGTGATCTTGATGAAGAGCTCTATATGCAGCAACCTACTGGCTTTATTGATCAGACTCATCCCTCACATGTTTGCCGGCTTCGCAAATCGATTTATGGCTTAAAACAAGCCCCCTGAGCTTGGTTTCGAGCTCTCAAGGCATTCCTTCTTTTGTAGGGGTTCTTCAACTCCAAATCAGATTCTTCCTTGTTTATCTATAACAGAGGGTTTGTTGTGATTTATTTTCTAGTCTACGTGGATGACATCATTGTTACTGGCAACAATATTTCCTTCACTACCTCTTTAATCCGGACTATGGGACATCACTTCTCTCTCAAAGAGCCCAGCGACCTCAGTTACTTTCTTGGCATCGAGGCTGTGTCGGTTCATGACGGTCTCTTTCTTTCATAACATCGCTATATTCAGGACCTATTACAAAAGTCGGGTATGACTGAGGCTAAACCCGTGGCTACTCCGCTAGCTTCCACTTCCAATTTGCTTCTCAACACCGGCGTCACTCTTACAGATGGTTCAGACTATAGAAAGCTTGTCGGTTCTCTTCAGTATCTTACTCTCACACGGCCTGACATTTCCTTTGCTGTTAGTCGTCTCTCACAGTTCATGCACAAACCCACTGATGTTCATTGGCAGGCTCTTAAGCGAGTTTTACGCTATCTTCGTGGCATTGCCTCTCATGGGATCCTTCTCCGGCCACAACAGTCCCTCTCTATTCATGCCTTTTCTGATGCAAACTGGGCTGGGGACCGTGACACTTGTCTCTCCACAACCGGATACATTGTTTTTCTTGGTGGGAATCCCATTTCGTGGAGAGCGGCCAAACAGCATGCCGTTGCTCGTAGCTCCAACGAAGCAGAGTACCGAGCCTTAGTTGTGTCTTCCTCTGAGCTTGTCTGGGTTATTCATCTGCTGAATGAACTCGGCGTTCCCATCACCAATCCTCCTGCTCTCTATTGTGACAATGTGAGCGCCACTTATTTAAGTAGTAATCCAGTTCTGCATTCTCGGATGAAGCACATTGCCATCGATCTTCATTTTGTGTGTGACTTGGTTGACAAAAAGATTCTGCGCATCTCCCACATTGCTTCCACCGACCAACTTGCTAATGGGTTCACTAAGCCCCTTCCTTCTACCAGGTTTCTTTGTTTACGGGACAAGATTGGTGTTGCTGATGGCACCTCCATCTTGCAGGGGCATGTTAAGGAAACCAAATCTGTATCATAGCATATTAATATTTTGTTTAAGCTCACATTCATTCTCTGTATAATATCCAAGATTGTGATTCACTTGCCTTATGTGGTAGGGCAAGACATAGGCTCCAACTGTATATATACTCTTGATATATTCGTAAATATATCAGTTCTTCATATACTTTGATTCTATATGCATGAGGACTGTTTGATGGATCATGATGTAATAATAATATGAACTACTGTTTATGGATTCTGATGATGTGTTCTGTGGGATATACAGTAGAAGGCAATTTGGGTTGCGAATTTAATGTAATTATCGTACATAATTTGGTTTTACTGAGATAAATGGAAGATATCTGGCACTGAATCAGGGCTCACTTGGGTTTGACCTTTATTATTTCCGTTTTTATTTTTGAGATGAAAATATAGTTGACGCTCTCTAGTGGCCCTAGTCCACCATAGTCTATAGTTGTGGCACTTTTTTTTCTTGGTTTTAGTTAGGGTGTTTTTAGATCAATTTTGTACATTTTAAGATTAAATTTTTTAAGTGATTTTAAAGATATACCTTTTAAATCGATTTAGTGCATTTAAAAAAATTAATTATAATATTTTTGCCTCCATCTTCGTCAGGCCATTTTTTTTTCTTCTTAGTTTTTAAATTATTTTAAACAGCGCATTGAATTGTCAAACTTTAAAATTGGCTTCTCAGGAAAACTTGTTTCTTGTGGCTTTGCTTCATACTAGTCCAGTGAGCCCTTACCTCTAAACCTTTCGTCTGTATCTTTCTTTCTACCCATCACATAAACTGTACTTTTAGAAACATACTTTTAAAAACTAGTTCAATTTAGACTGAAATAACTTCAAATTGGTTTGGAACTTGGAAGTAACAGTGGTGGGCCATTTTATTTCATTTTGTTTTTAATAATAAAATTGAAAATTTTAGAAAAAGAAAAAAGAAAACAAGAATAGTCATGATGACAGTACAATTCGCTATTTTATAGTGTTGGTGGAAAATAGATGAAACTGCTGCGTAGGCAGCAGCGTGAAGCTTTAGCAGGGGCTGGAGTTTGAGGTGATCTAAAGGGACGATATTGCCTTTCATTTTCTTTTTAATAATTTGAAAATTTAAGAAAAGAAAAAGAAAACAAGAATAGTCAAGATGATAGTTTATTGCCCATTCATCAACTCTATTAATAACTGTCCTTGATCATATTTGTTTTTAAAGTTTATTGTCTTAATTGTGGAAAATAAGAAAAATATTGATGGGTGGCATCTCATTTCTCATGACTGTTTATTGACTGACAGTGCTCTTACCCCTGTTGTCATGTCATCTTAACATTTGGCCTTTGCATGACGGCTTGTGCTATAATACAATCAACAATTCTGTTAACAGGAGTCATGGATTTCATCCATTTTGGAACTTGATTGCTTAAAGTCAAAGTTCAGAGATGGAAATGCATTTTGGCTCAAAGTCTGGTAATTATTGCTGTGTTTATTTCTAAGATAAAACACAACAGGACATAAATTCTGCTGTTTGAGGTTTTCACACGTTAATGGCTTCCCAACCATCAGCGTATAAGCTTCACAAGGCATCCTTTTAAAAAGGCAGATGAATACAACTTAGATGAATTGGTTTTGGGTAGTGCCTAATGCTTCTATAGTTTGACACAAAGCTGTATTCCAAACAAAATTCCAGTTGATCACATTCACTACTCTTAACTTTTTTCATACACGTGTACACTTTCTTTAGTTTGCTACAAGAAACCATGCCGTTTCTTTTTAATGCCCTTTCCTTTTTGTAAGTTACTCATTCTGGTAACTAGAAGGGAAAACCATAATGTCTACTGAAGATCCTTAGGGAATGTAACCCAAATACGCTAATGAAAAAAGAGCGAAGGTTGGGAAAGGTATACCTTTTCTCATAACTAGCTGTATTCTCTGATTTAGATTTTTGTGTAGACCATTTTAAATAACTTATCTTACTTTATAATTTGGACAAGTTGTAACCCTCAAATTTTCCATTTCACCACGAGCCTTTCTCTAAGACAGTGCTTTGATCATTTACGCCGTTCATGTGGGTCAGAACTTACGTAACAAAGAATTTCGCTGCCTTGGGACCATTATAGTTATGGTCGCCATTCACTAGGGCTTGGGTTTTTGGCTCGCCTGTCACTTGACCTTTTGGCATTGGGCAGGCGTCAGCCCCCATACATGGTCTTACGACTTTGCGGAGACCTGTGTTTTTGGTAAACAGTTGCTCGGGCTTGGTCACTGTGACCCCCTTTGTGAGGAGACACCCCTTCTCCTGAAGTTACGAGTCTATTTTGTTGAGTTCCATAGACAAATTAATTTTTAATTTTCACAAATTTAAATTTTGAGTGGGTTATGAATACCTGCCCTACATTAACATATTTGTGCATAAGTTTAAGTTTTTGACATCAAAATGCAAAGTTATCATAGAATAAAATATATGGGTAACTTTTGTTATTATTAAAGTGTACAACCTTCGATGAAGGTTGTGAGTTATTTATCAATATTTTATTTTCTACGTGATTTACCCATCATGCATGGATCTTTTTCCCCTTTCATGGCACCTTCTTTTGCACTTCTAGATGCTTGGATATGGTTTGTTCAAATAATCCAATTGAATCGCCTCCGCAAACACACAGATTGAGACCATTGCAATGGCATTTTGGACTAGCACAATCTTCATCACTTTGGCATGGAATACTGATATTTCTTGCTTGCGTTATCGTGTGTAAACCTAAAATAAGATATTTTTATCAATAAAAAACTCACAAATATTATAAAATATTTAAAAAAATGGAAATGTGATTTTCATTAGATCCATGATTACATGTTAAATGAAAAAGACGCATAGTAAAAAGAAAGTTGCTTACCCCATGAAAACATCAAGAGTGCACCTAAGAAAATCAATTTAAATGATCGCTTCTCCATAACTTTTCTGGAAGTTGGTGTTAGTGTTTGTTTTGTTTGCAAGATAAATGATATTATGAATACCTCTAGTCTTTGAAACTACAAATTTATAAGAGGAATACTAACCATTTGCAAAAATTAGATAAGGAATTTCACTAAATCTCTTATCATTTTTCCCTTAGAAAGCGCAGAAAGTTTAGGGCAACCACAAATGTATGAGCTAACTTATTCAGTAATAAAAAAATATCTTACATGCTTAGGAGTTATGAATGAGAAGGTTGTCATTTTTATCAGATATTTTTCATAAAATTTTCAAATTTATAGAAAAATATGGAAAATAAACTTTCATAGAAATGATAAAGAAATAACTAAATAAAAATAAAGATGATAAAAAAAGTATAAAACTTAAGGACTTTCTTGGAAGACTAACAAAATTTTACATTTTTTTCAGGGACTAGGATGAAATGCGGGTAAAGAAATGAGATTAAATTGTTGCATTGGACAAAATTGAAGGCTGCAGTGTGTTTCCAAGTCTTAAACGGTGTCGTTTTCGGTGAAGGGAATTATTATCAGTCGTAGTCTTCTTCCTCAGATGGTAGCTACAACCGGTAGAATCAAAACTAAGGATGGAGAATTAGAGTAAAGAATTTGAGAGAAGCAGAAGAAGTAGAAGAACTGAGAACAGAGGAGAGGAAAGGATCTAATTATTTTATAGATCAATCATGTTGATTATCCACTTAAAATTTTAAAAATATGAAAAATTTAGTGTGAAGTTTAAAAATTTCAGAGTTGCCCTTCATCCAAATTTCAGGGTTGCCAAAAGTCACTTAAAACAATCTGCACAAAGATTAGAATCTGAGGATACAGTTAGGCATGGGGAAGGGTAAATACGCATCCCACAACCTTCGTGAAAAGCACGGTTGCATACTCTTAATTTTGAAGTTTTAACTCAACTTATTTGATGTTGGGATTTATTTAACTTAATTCAAAAAGTGATGAAAGACTTTGTTTACAAACATGGGAAAGATATGGGATAATAGAAAAATAAAGGTAAAAAAAGGGTTTGTGCTTTTATTGAAAAAAGAAAACGAGAATTTTGAAAGAAAATTAATTTTTTTTTAAATCTTAATCCGGTTATAAATTAATAGCAAATCCAAGTAAATATCTACAAAATTTTTTTAATAATAATAAATTATAAAATGTAAAAAACACTATTAGTACCATTAATATCCAAAAATGCAAACTTTTGAACGATATACATCGAGTCATTCCGGAAAAACATATTTCTAGCACTCTTCCCTTTGAAATTACTTCATCACTTAAGGAGTTGTGGTTTAATTGGCAATGAGATTTTCTTTACACTTAGTTGATTAAGGTTTAATTTCTTGGAAAAGTCAATGAATAGATAATATTTTATGAATTTTATAATCCTAATGTGAATTGCCTGTCTTTAAATAAATCAGAGATGAATTAGTCTAGAGATGCATGTAAGTTGGCTGCCAACATATCTTGACCACTAAATGAAAAAAAAATTACTCCATCTGTTCAACTTTGGTATGTCTAGTATTTTTTGTTTAATAAAATAAAAATGTAATAATTGATATGATTGATAGAATTTTATTTTGATCCCTAATTAATCAATTTAAATAATCCATCTTATTTAATATTTATTGTAATTATTTTTTTTTAAATAGTGATAAAATAAGAATAAGCAGATCAAATAATATCTTAAGATGTTTTTATTAACTTTGCGCTCTTAAGCTTACCCGTGTTTCTCCTATCAATGTACAAAATTTTGAGAGGGGTCATTGAGGAAATAGACACAATTCATAGGAGATTTTGAGCAAGTGAGAATAGGAAGAAAGTGGCGTGAAATGTGCATAGAAGTAAGGATGAGGATGGGCTAAGTATAAAAAACTTGAGATGGTTTAATTTAGTGTTGTTTAATGAATTATGGAAGAGGGTATTGAGAGAAAAATATGGGAATAATGAGGGAGATTGGATGAAATGGTTATGTCAAAGCAAAAGAGCTGGGTCGGCTTGGTGGCAAGACATTTGCAATATTAATAATGGGTGCCTTTATAAAAAAAATAGTGGTTCGGTTGAGGGTTTAATTAAGAGGGTGATAGGTGGGGGGAAGAGTACTGGTTTCTGGAAGGATGTCTAGGTAAGGGAGTAGGAACTAATGAAATTATTTCTTAGACTCTTTTATTTATCTACAAGAAAGAGCAATTCAATTCATGGCATGGGCACTTGGTCGAATGGTAGTTGGAGATAGACTATCTTCTAGAGAAGACAACTCTGCGAATGGGAAAAAGAATCAGAAGAAAGCTTACTGAGGATGCTAGAACATGTACGACCAATGGAGGGAAAAGAAGACAAGTGGCGATGGCATTATGATAAGGAAGGCTTATATAAACTGAAAGGTATGTACAACTTCCTACTGCCAACAAAGATTGTCAAGGAGACATGCTTATTTTAGAAAGAGTAATGATCAGGGGGATGAAAGTGCGGAGCGAAATTGTGGGACGACAAGCAAGCAAGGTGAAATTGGTAATTTTGTATCTTGCAATTTTCACTTGTCATCCCCCACTTTCGTCCCCCACTTTCGTCCTCCTCATCATTACTCTTTTAGAAAACTTGGAATGCTTTAGTACCACAGAAAGTTTGTGGGTTCCCTTGGCAATTGCTACAAAATGGGATTCCAACAAAAGACAATTTGAGGAATAGAAGCATCACCATAAGAGGTAACTCTGGTTCAAGTGATGTCTGTAACTTGAAGTATGAAAGTTGTGATAATTTGTTTATTAAGGGCTTAATTTAATTTTTAGTCTATTAACTATCAGCTTGATTTCATTTTAGTTTAGAAACTATGTTTTATTTCTAAGTGATCTATTAACTTTTATATTCATTTCAATTTCGTCTACCTGGTCAAAGATAATGGAAAACTTTCTATTTCTATTAGAGAACAGTTAGTCCTCTAACTATATTTTTTTTTATCTTTTAATCCTCAAATTTATATTTGTTATAAAAATAGCTTTTATACTTAAAATTATTATTTTTAGGCTCTGATACCAGATTTTTATACTTAAAATTATTATTTCTAAGTGGTCTATTAACTTTCAAGCTCTGATACCAAATTAAAAAAATAGGAAAACCCGTAAAAAAATCTGGTATCAGAGCCTATAAATAATAATTTTAAGTAAAAAAGTTATTTTTATAATAAATATAAATTTAATGACTAAAAGGTCAAAAAAATATAGTCAGAGGACTAACTGTTCTCTAACAGAATAGGAAGTTTTCCGTTATCTTTGACCAAGTAGATGAAATTAAAATGAATCTGAAAGTTAATAGACCACTTAGAAATAAAACATAGTTTTTAGACTAAAATGAAATTAAGGTGATAGTTAATAGACTAAAAATTAAATTAGGCCGTTTATTAAGTGCAAAGTTGCAAGGGAAATATGGATGGGATGTTTTCAATGCTGGACTATTTCTTATTTGCTGGATAACTCATGCAAAAGTGTGTTTCACCAACATTATTTATTTGGACGAACAAAAGAAGAGAGGAAAGCATGAGATGTACTTCAGTGCATTATCATTAATTTGGTCTTTATGGCTGCATAGGAATGGATTGATTTTTCAAGGATTTAGTTGTGGAGGAAAATGGGCTCTTTAAGATGGTACAAGTGAGATCACATCAGTGGATTAGAAGCAGAACAAAATTCTGTGCTTTCTCGTTTGTAGAGTCGCAGTAGAGTCCAAGGGAATGCATCAAAACCTTGTGACTATGACAAAATTGCTAGCGGAGGGGTTGCTTGCTGAGTTTTAATGGTGGTTTATGTTTTAATGTTTATACCTGGTTTTTGTTCCTAAGCAGCCCATGCGAAGAGAAGGAAGCAGTAGACATATATGGGTTGGGAGTATCCTTTGTACTTCACTTTTATAAAATTTTTGTCATTCAAATACAAAAATTCTTAAGAAGGAAGAGTAGTTAATTAAATTTAGGGATAATGATATATACACCCTGCACCGTTGTACACTCTGTTACACACTGATGAAAACCGTTAGTGTATAACGAAAAAGGTCAGTTTAACGGTATAAATAATGGAAACTATCAATTTTAATGGTACAAGTTGTTGATGTGCCAAAATGGATGGAGTCGCCATCTATCCAAATGAGGTGGGATAGATCACCAAAGTCTACGCAGAAATTAACTA